CTGCCCGGGGCCGTGCCCCTGCTCTGTGTTCTGTGCCCCCTCTCAAATACATCATTTGCAGAGGTGCTCATGGGCTCGGCCTTGGCCAGGGTGGGCCCAGCCTGGAGCTGGAGAAACTTCTAGCAGCTTCTCACAGGGGCCTTGTTTTACTGGCAGCACACGGAACCCCAGAACAGACAGATCCCAGACCCCAGCAAGACTGTAGCTGCTTGCTGCTGAAAGCTGCTTTGGGAATGAGAACAGGTGACTTTATTCCCCCCCATTTCAAGACTGCCTCACATTGGGGTGGCGTGAACTCCTGGTTAGGCAGCAAGGAGCATCAAACCACCCATAGTAGTGCACAGGCTCTGTGGCAGGAAACGGCATGACCTCGGCACCTCAACCCAACGCAACGAGCCGCCCTTTGGCTGCGGTTACCTCCTGCCAGCCTCCCCTGGAGAGCCTAGGGACCTGGAGCTCTGGCAGTATGTAACCCAGGCATTTGAACCAGATGAGGAAGAACCAGCTTATCAGCCTGCCCTGCTTTGTAGACAGGGAGCCTTTCCCTCCCCGTGTTCAGAGTTATGACTAATTACTTCACATGTGGGCTTGCTGCTCTGCATCACTGATGATTAGCCGGCAGGGAGGCTCCCAGCCTTCCTTCTCACCACCCACCCTTCAGCCCCAACTTCAGCTCTAAATTTAACCAAGATGACCCTCTTAGTTTGCAAGATTTTTACCACTGGGTTTAGATGAAGTGCCAGAGATGCTCACCTCTTTTTCTGACCATAAAGCTGTTGTCACAGGCGTGTCTTCCTGGTTGAGTCTTGCATCAGTCTGATTTCGATTCCCTTCAAGTACAGCCTCTGAAGATCCCTGCCCACCACAAATCTTCACACAGTGCCTTTTACGAAACCCCTGTTAAAACTCAGACCATGTGCACATGAAAACTTGGTCAGGCTCTGTCACGCTTGCTGTCAGTTAAGGGCGATACAAGTGGGATACTGTTTTCTGCTTTTTGAGACACAAAGTCTAGTAAGGCCTTGTTTATGTCTAAGAAGGCTTTATATTTTCTTTGTGAATCATCTTCTATTTATAGGTAGCATAGCAATTAGACATATAATTGAAGAATTTGTGATAAAAAACAAAAGCTTTGTCATGTGCAAATTTCTGGATTCTTGATTGGGACAAAATGCAAAATTATACTCTCCAAGTGAGTAGCAGTTCTTCCTTTTGGAAAAGTTCAATCCAATATTTAAACTCCCCAAACTCCTTTCTCTGTTATAAACTTTTTTTGAACACAGGAGGAAGTGCTCATGCTCAATTTGTTTCATTTAATGCAATTCTATACCTGATTTCAGCAGAAGGATTTGAAATCTGCTTTTAACTTGAAACCTTGAGGGGAGGGAATTTCAAAGCTCTGTATGATTTTTTCAGGCCTTTGTCATTTCTAGGAGGAGGCAAAATATGTAGCACAATCTCAACATAATCAACATCTATTCTTTCTCTGTTTTATGCACAAATATAAACCTATCCTTTCTTTTGGTGTATAAATATACATACACAAATGCAAGTTAATGTCCTTTAGTAAGGATGCCTTAACAAGGGATAAACATATAAGCACATACCTACACAGCTTGACTCAAACCAATATCTCAGCCAGATCGGAAAGCAAAGTGCTTGACTGCTTGCTGATGCAAAGATATTTGCACAGCAGGAACACTTTGATTGATGGACGTATTTTAATTTGCTTCACAAAAATTACACCGCTTCCCACCCGTGAAGAATGGGGCTGGAAGAGCTCAGACCAGGCAGTGAAAAGCAAAGGCCAGCTCCATCCCACAGCCCTCCCTCCCACCCTGCAACCCGTCATTAAAATCTCTAGAGCTAAACCTCCAGTAAGGTATTGCTTTAGATGAAAAATGGGCGAGAGTAAAAGCAGCATCATTCATGCTCCTCCCCACTGCATTTCTCTGCACAAAATACTTCTGTTGACCTGTAAAGACCTCTATGGTCTGAAGCATGAAATCCATGAACAGATCCCTCAAACACATCACAAAACCTTTATTAGTGTTTATCAGTGACACAGATTACAGGAACCAAAGGCAATTAAATAACACTTAACTTTAAGTTGACCAGAGACTCAAGAAATACAAATCACATTTGGCAAGGCAAACTTCTCAGTACACTGGGTTGCTTAGGTTATTATTACACCGTGAAAGAGGAATTTCCCTTACAAGGTTCTACATATTCAGGATATTATTATTAATTATTATTATTATTGTGTCTTTCAGACAGTTCCTTTGGCAAGAATTCCTATTTTTTAAGCTTTTATTATATAAAAATATAACCACTTTTCATTATGTACAAACATTACATTACACAATGTACAGGTTAAAAACACTACAAAAAATGGCAGGCCACGGGTGAACCAAACACAAAAAAACAATGTAGAAAACATGAAAAAAAAATTTAAATACTGCACATTTCATAAAAATTACATTAACTACAAACAATTATTTTTTTGTTTGCAAATATCAAACAGTACTGACGTGATTGGAAATCTTTCCCAACAATTTCATCTTTAAGGCACATCTTGCGTATTTACATGTACGACACCGGATCTGGTCAATAACTTAAAGGCTCTCAGGAGTGACCTAGTCGTGTGTGCGCAGGGACGTGTGTACTTGGGTGTGGAGCGTGTTGGGCTACACCTTCTCAGCTGTGTCAGTCTGGGGACCCAGGTATCTAGTTGAGGGGGCTGGGTAGAGGGGCACCCCAATCTCCTGAAGGTCAGGGAGCCGTGCGGGGCGTGGCGGGGATAGGAGTGTGATCGTCCTGTCAAAGTCCCTGTGCAGCACTTTCTCGTAGACACTCTGAAGCCCCACTGTTTTGGGCAGCTGGGCTTGATAAAAGTTGTCCCTGCGAAGGGGATCTCTGGGCAAGGATGTGCTCTTGCAGAAGGTGGAGAGGGGTGCTGAAGGATGGGGAGAGGGGTGAGGGTTGGCTCGGCCGCAGGAGGGGCTCCAGCAGCGGTCTGAGTGGCCCAGGATCTTGCATTCGGCTGTGCATGCCCACAGACCTGAAGGGAGAGAGAGAGAGGAGGAGAAACCTGTCATTACTGCAGGAGTAAATCCACATCGCTGGTAATCCTCAGAGTCACCAGTCACGGGATGATTCAATGCACTGACAGGGGGAGTTGGGAGGTGATGCTCTATGGCACAATGAAAAAACATGCTTGGGAAGATTATGTTGTTTTGCTAGGAACAATCCAAACTTTAAGAAAAGCTTTTCGGGGAGGGAAAAACCCAAACCTACAGTACTCCAGCATCTGCTAATTTGTGCTGGGCACTCAGTGCAGAGAGGAACCAGCATCTAGCAGCCTGCTGCAAAGAGACTAGCAGTTTGAATCACACAGCATCAGCATTCCCCCTCCAGCTGCCCTGCCCAATCACTGTGCCCCGGGGATGGGTCCTTCCGTCCACCTCCCTGTCTGCCCATCCACCTAGAGGGGCCAGCCATGAGCAGGGGCTGAGCCCTTACCATTCTGCATGTGCGTGATGAGATCTTTCTTCAGGGCATCTCCGCTGATATCCGAGTCACTGTCGTTAAAATCGCTGTCACCTTTGCCGCTGTCTTTGCCGCTGAACTTCTCTGCCTCTCGGCTGGAGATGGTGTTGAATGAGTGCCCCTTCCAAATGGCCACGGGGGGAGCAGGCTCCTTGCCGTAGCTCGGAGCAGCAGTGAAACTCTGCTGGGGTTGGGGGTCAAAGGAGAGGTGAGAAGGAAGCAGTGAAGGGTAAATCAACATCAGAACCATACTTCTGCAATTCACATCGCCTGAGACCCCTCCCCACCTGCCATCCCCCTTCCCCACAGCAGGACCTTACCTCCCCGCTCGGTCCTCTGAGCCTCTTCTGACCCCCATAGAGGGAAGCACAGTTGCTGCCGTTCTCGGCAGTGGAGATCTCTTCGGTAGCTGGAGAAGGGTCGGGGCTGGTGAAAGAGGTTTTGCTGGGAAAGGTTCGTACCTCAAACACATTCCCCCCCTGGCTGCCCTCCTCCTGCCGGCCCTTCTCCAGGTGGGAAATGTCTATCTGCTCCTTCAAAGAAGCATTGTTTTTGATCTCGTTCCCCTTCTTGCGCCTGTTGCAAGTGGTGGCGATGGTGATTATCGCCACCAGCAGGAGGGTGCAGCTGCCCGCCAGGACGATGATGACGATCAGAGGGATGTCCCATTGCAAAGCCTTTCCTTCCCAGGAGCTGGGCTTGGCTATCTCCTGGATGCTGGAAGGAGCAGTGGCGGTCACCAGGAAGTTGACTGTGGCGGTTGTGGCCAGGGGGGGTCTGCCATTGTCTGTCACCGTAAGAATGACCTTGAACAGCTGTCCCAGCTCTTCAGAGAGGTCGCCCCTCAGCACAATGTCCCCAGTACTTGGGTTGATGGTGAAAAGGTCCTGCTGGGGCTCTTCCAGTAAGGCAAAGGTGAGCTCGGCATTGGCCCCATCATCTGCATCTCGAGCTTTGATCTGGGCCACCAGGGAGTCACGGGAGGTCTTGCTGGACACACCGATTTCCACTGAGCCATTGGTGAGCACTGGGTGGATGATGACGGGAGGGTTGTCATTCTGGTCCACCATCCTCACTTTGACAAGGGTGCTGCTGGAGAGCTGCGGAGAGCCTCCATCAGTGGCCTGGATCCTCAGGTCCAACTGCTTGAGGATCTCATAGTTGAATGTCCTGAGGGCGTAGATGGCCCCAGTGGCAGGGTCCACCGAGGCCTTTCTTAAAATTTCTACAAGATGCATGCATTTCCAGGGAGTTTGGCTCTGCTATTGCTGTTGATTGAGGTGACCTTACCATTGTGGCCAAGATCAGGGTCACGGGCCACCACAGTGGTGATGTAGGCACCAGGGGGGTTGTTCTCTGGCACGGCCACCTCGTAGAGGGGCTTGGCAAAGAGTGGCGCGTTGTCATTCTCATCGCTTACCCGCACCGTGTACTGACTGGCGGATGGTCTTGAAGGGCGGCGAGCCCAGGTCCTCAGCCACCACAGTGAGGTTGTACTCGGGGATGCGCTCGCGGTCCAGAGCTGCCGTGGTGACGATCATGTAGCTGTCCTCGTAGGCACGTTGCAGGGCAAAGTGGTCGTGGCCACGGAGGCTGCAGCGCACCTGCCCATTGGCGCCTGAGTCACGGTCCGAGGCACTGACGAGGGCCACGAAGCTCTCGCTGGCCTCCGCCTCACTGACATAGGCAACACCGGCGGCACTGGCGGCGCCACGGAGGGGGCTGATGCTGATGCGTGGCGCGTTGTCATTGACATCAGTGAGGCGCACAATGACAGTGCAGGTGGCAGCACGGGGGCTGGCGCCGCGGTCCTGGGCGCGCACGTCCAGCTCATAGGTGCGGGTGCGCTCATAGTCCACAGTGGCCTCCAACGTGAGGCGGCCTGAGCGGGGGTCGAGGCGG